AAAGTTTCACTTTTAATTTTTTGAGGAAATTCCATATTGTTTTCTGTAGTGGCTGCACCAGTCTGCATTCCCACCAGCAGTGCATGAGGGTTCCTTTTTCTCCGCATCCTCGCCAGCACTTGTTTGTTGACTTGTTGATGATAGCCATTCTGACAGGTGTGAGATGGTATCTCATTGTTGTTTTGATATGCATCTCTCAGATGATTAGTGACTTTGAGCATGTTTTCATGTTTCTTGGCCTTTCTGTATGTCTCTTTCGAAAAGTGTCTATATAGGTCCTTTGCCCATTTTTTGATTGGATCGTTTGAAAATATTATTATTAGTAAAGTATATTTTATTACCATGTATGATGGCTGCTTGGCCAGAGTGGCTCAGTTGGTTGAGCATTGTCCTGTGCACTGAAAGGTTGCCGGTTTGATTCCTGGTCAGGGCACATACCCAGGCTTTGGTTTGATTCCCAATCAACTGATCGATGTTTCTCTCTAAAGTCAATGTTTCTCTCTCTCTCCCCTTGCTCTCTCTCTGGTGAGGATTAAAAACAACAATAACAACAAGAAAAAGAACCACATGCATGATGGCTAATTTTATGTGTCACCTTGGAGAGTGTTTTTGAGTGAGGTTTACATTTAATTAATGAATTTTTAGTAAAGCATACTGCCCTCCATAATGTGGAGGGCCTCATTCAATCAGTTGAAGGCTTAAATAGAAACAAAGCCAGCCTCCCCAAAACAAGATGGAGATCTGCTGCAGACTGCCTTCCGATTTTATCTGTACTGTCAGCTCTTCTGGGCCTCTAACCTGCCAGCCAACACTGCAGATTTTGGACTTGCCATCCTTCCTACGTATGTGAACCAATTGCTCATGATAAATTTCTTTCCATCTATGTACACATCCTATTGGTCTTGTTTTTCTGGAGAATGCTGACTAATCCAACATGTAATGGGTTTATTACTTTTATTTTTAAATGAACATTTTAAACACTTAGTTTTAATGTCTAACATAGTAAATATCTATACCATATAATCCATATAAACAAGATCTTATTAGGGTTCTCAATAATTTTTAAGAGTGTAAAGGGATCCTGAAACCAAAAAGTTTGAGAACCGCTGGTAAATTATATTTAAAATACAATGGCCTTTCTTTTTTTAAAAAAAATATATTTTATTGATTTTTCACAGAGAGGAAGGGAGAGGAATACAGAGTTAGAAACATCGACGAGTGAGAAACATCGATCAGCTGCCTCCTGCACACTCCCTATTGGAGATGTGCCTGCAACCAAGGTACATGCCCTTGACCGGTAGTAATTTTGATTTTTTTGCTTTTTAAAACTAGCCCTCCATCAATGAATCTAAATTTATGAAGTTTTATTGCATCTTTAAAAAATCCAGAGACCACAGCCTAGCCAATGATGACCACACTTTTCATTTTATTCTATTCTAGCACTAAGATAAATACATAATACTCCAATATTATTTATTTTCTCTAAAAGGTTCATTTTAAGAACTAACGAAATAATGAAAACACCTTTAAACTACAGCTATACTCAACTATTCTGCCCCAAACCCAAATACCTGACAGTCAATTTAACATCATGTGTGAAGAATGCCCTCAGAAGGGCTGATAAAACACAAGTTTTGGATCTTTGCAATAGTGATTCAAAGGGGTGGGTATGAGGGTAAGGGTAGCATCTGAATCTGAGGTGGGAGCAACTGGAGAAGGTTTTTTCATCCCCAGCAGATACTTACTGCCCTTCTCTTACAGACTCACTGCTAGTGTGACTGCTACAGATTTCTCAGGAGTATCAAGGCAAATAAAAATGAATGAGAATTGCCCTGGCTAGCGTGGATCAGTGGTTAGAGCACTGACCCAGGCACTGAAGGGTCTCGGGTTCAATTCCCGATCAAGGGCACACACCTGGATTGTGGGTTCGCGCTCTGATCCCTGTGTTTCTCTCCCTGCCCCACACTCCACTCTCTCTGAAAAGCAATGGAAAAAATATCCTCAGGTGAAGATTAAAAAAAAAATACTGAGAATCGTTACTTTATAATTTTATATGCTACTAGGAGGATAGTTTAGATAATAAGTATAACTTTAAAGAATAATAGGAAATCAACAGGAACAATACAAACTTTTGGGAGTTTGTGCTTGTACTGAGGGTCTATCAGGGCCTTGCTGCTCTAATAATGTTAAAGCAAAACCATTATATTTTAATTCAATGTTTGATGAAATGAATTATTTCACTGTTACTTGTTTTAGTTAGAATTTCATTACTTTTTCCTTTTTGTGTGAATAACATGGTTGTCCAAATTTAAGTAGTAAAAAATCTCAAATTTTGTTGTAAATCATAATTGTATGCAATGAATCACATCTTTCTTTCTCTATATCTTTGCAATGTAGTATTGTTGCTCTTCCTGTGAAGAAATGGAGTTAATTTACCACCCTCTTGCTTCACTAATAGAATGTCATAGAAGTGATTTTGAACATTTTGGAGGCTAGACTTTAGATCTAGGATTCCACTTTCATACTCTAGGAACACGAAGACCACCATGCCATAAAAAAGCCCTATAACCCTACCAAGGATGAGAAGTCACGTGAATTGAGACCTCCCAGATAACAGCCAGCACCAACTGCCAGCCATGTGAGTGAGATCATCTTCATCCTCCAACTCCAGTCAAGCTGTTAGATGACTATAGCTGCATGAGTGATCTCAGGCCACGCCATGAGAACAGATTGCCAACTCACAGAATAGTAATAATAAAATTATCATTTTCAGCCACAAAGTTTTGAGGTGGTTTGTTACACAACAAAGGCTAACTGAAGCAGAAATATCCCCTCAAAGTGTTTGTGTATGAAAATTAGATTGGTGGGTATAAGTAACTGGGCATCAACTTTTGGATGCTATAATCAAATGGAGGGATATATTACATCCTAGTAGAGTCTCAAATACAGTTTATTAAATGTAAACGTAAGATGAGGCAATGAAACACAAAGTGAATCTATTAATTCATTAATTCAACATATATTTATTGCACACTTTCTAAACACCAAGTACTATTCTAGGTGATGGAAAAGACACTGCCCCTGCCTTTGTATAGTTTATAGTCTGAGGAAGAAAGTAATTAAGTAATTTCAAAAAGTTTGATAAGAAAGCACAGGTTGCTGCTCACTAAACAAACTTAGAGCATTAGGGAAGGCTTTCCAGAGGAAGTGATCTTTAAGCTGACAGGTGAAGGATGAGTAGAAATTTAGCCAGAAAGGGGTATAGGAAACTGGGGTCAGAAGACTACAAATATGCTCCAACAAAGGAAACATTACCTATGAAGGCTCAGAGGTGAGAGAAAACATGGTGCATTCAAACCACCACAATAATTTCTGTGTAGTATGTATATGAAAAAGCACAAGAGATGAAGCTTGGGAGTAGAGCAGCAACTAGTAAAAAGTTTGGAACTGTTGAGTTTGGAGATGAAAAATGACATGACTGCTTTTAGATGAAGCATTATGACAACTGAGTAGAGAGGGATTTGACAGGTGCAAAAACTGAGCTATTATCAACAGTTCAGATGAGAAAAAATTTTAATTAGGAAAGTGATAAAAGGGATGGAGCGACATGGATGGATTTAAGATTTTTAGGCGATAAAATCTCCAAACTTGATACATCTATAATAAAAGCATAATATGCTAATTAGACTGGATAGCCGAAGGACCTTCTGGATGTCATTCCAGACATCCTTCCAGATGACCTTCTGGACGAAGCTCGGGTTGCAAGGGCCGAGCACCTTGCACAAATTTCGTGCATCGGGCCTCTAGTAATTATATATGGATAGTAAAGAAGCAGGAGTGCCTGGCAGGTGTGGCTCAGTGGTTGCCAGTCACCATTGGATTCCCAGTCAGGGCACATGCTGGGCTAGTGGGCTCCACCCCCAGTAGGGCGTGTGCAGGAGGCAACCCATTAATAATTCTCTCTCATCATGGGTGTTTCTATCACTCCCTCCTCTCCCTTCCTCTCTGAAGTCAATAA